AGCCAACATGGTGAAATCCTGTCTCTACTAAAAATACAAAAATCAGCTGGGTGTGGTAGTGGGTGCCTGTAATCCCAGCTACTTGGGAGGCTGAGGAAGGAGAATTGCTTGAACCTGGGAGGCAGACGTTGCACCATCGCACTCCAGCCTGAGGACTAGAAGTTTCCCAGCTAAAAGGGATGTCCCCTCAGTGTGTCTTACCAGTGAATAAAAAGCATCCACCCTATCACCAGCAAGTCCTCTACTCACCAAGAACTGACCCAAGTCTGGGAGAGCAACCAATTCAAATGTGTAGGGCTGAAGCTTGTGAACACAGCCACTGTTTTCCATCGCACGTCTTCATCTCGGGAGTAACAAGGCCACTCCCAGGGAACTTGTGGCAGGGATCCCAAGGTGAAGCAGCACAGATGTCTACAAACTGTATAGTGACAGTGGCTCAGAGCCTCCAGACTCCTAGCTCTGCATGGTGGCCTTCTGCCTTCAACAACTCACTGGGCCTCATGAAGATGCCTTCCATGGCTTTCCAGCTGTTGTTCTGGCTTGGCTAGGCCAGGCCATGCATCTCTTTTTGCCCACTGATGGGTCCACCATATTGTTCTCCTGTGACAGACAGTGGTTCCTCAGTGGAAGAATGTTTGAACCACCCTCACCATCTCTCATCCAGTGGGGCCCATTACAGAGCATGGTCCAGTCATCCAGGTGACTACCTTCACCTTCCTCACCAAAAGTACTCACTTCCTGGTTTTCAGAAAGGTGTGGAGGTTTCAGCCAGTGTTGACGTGTGTCAGCCGAATGGGCTGGCAGCACTTGATGGGGGTTCCCCTCTCACTGGCTGTGGTGATCTTACCCTATATTCTCCAGTAACTGTTGCTCTCATTCATGGAGGTTACACCTGTCACTGACTGCTGCCCACTACCTGACCCATAGAGCACATCGTGTGAGTGCAGTTGGACATTGTAGCACATTTTGAGCAGCTTCACCATAGAGCTACAAGTAACAGCCATATTGGACGTTCTCACGGTGCTCCACAAACTCCCAAACATCAGTAGCGGAACCACAGCCGTCCTAGCTGGATACGGAGACCTAGATCTTCCAGGAATAATTTTTTTTTTTAAAGAAAGGCAAAACATATGCTCTGAAAACTAAAACATTTGTTTAAAGGAATTAAAGATTGTCAGGACCCTGTGACTCATGCCTGTTATCCCAGCATTTGGGGAGACGAAGGTGGGAGGATTGTTGAGCCCAGGAGTTCAAGAACAGCCTGGACAACATGGTGAGGCCCATCTCTACAAAAAACTAAAAAATTAGGCGGGGGTGGTGGCATATACTTGTAGTCCCAGCTATTTGGGGGGCCAAGAGGGGAGGATTGCTTGAGACTGGGAAGTCAAGGCTGCAGTGAGCTGTGATTGTGCCACTGCCCACCAGCCTGGGCGACAGAGTGAGACCCTGTCTCAAAAAAAAAAAAAAAAGGGGGTAGACAGTGGCTCACACCTGTAATCCCAGCTACTTGAGAGGCTGAGGCAGGAGAATTGCTTGAACCCAGGAGGCGGAGGTTGCAGTGAGCCAAGATCACACCACTATACTCTAGCCTGGGTGACAGAGCAAGACTCTGTCTCGGGGGAAAAAAAAATACAAAAATTATCTGGGTGTGGTGGTGCTAGTCCCAACTCCTTGGGAGGCTGAGGCACAAAAGTCCCTTGAACTGGGAGGTGGAGGTTGCAGTAAGCCGAGATCATGCCACTGCACTCCAGCCTGGGCAAGAGAGCAAGACTCCCCCTCAAAAAAAAAAAAAAAAAGGAGAGAGAGAGAGAGAATCTGAGCCAGATGAGCATCAGACCTCTCAACAGCAGTATTAGAAACTGGAAGTTTATGAAACAATGCCTTAAAGTTGCTGAGGGAAAATCATTATATACCCAGCCAAAGTATCGATCCCGTGTGAGGGTAGAATATAGACATTTTCAGACATGCAAAGTTAAAACAATTGTCTTCCATGAAAACTTCCTCAGGAAGGAGCTGGAGGATGCACTCCACACTAGAAGGGCATAAACCAAGAAAGAAGAAATGGAACCCAGGAAAATCAGAGATCCAGAGGAAAGAGAAGAAATGACGTTGCAGAATGTTGGCAAAGGAAAGCCTAAGGATGACGACTGTGCTGCTGATCTGAAAAGCTTCAGGCTCAGATGGAGGCAGGAGAACTGAGGGCTCCAGAAATGGTGTCGCAAGGAAAAAAAATTAAGGAACTGGAACTCATAGTGAAAATGAGTATTGAGAATCATCTTACTGGGTTTTCGCAGAAGATCTAATCATAGGTCAAAGAAAATAAGCAAGTGAAAAAAATGAGACAATGATTAACTCTGTGGGGGAAAGGAGATCGAAAAAGATAGT